GGGGACATACGCCTCTTCCGCCGAGCCCTAAAGACCTATCTGTTCCAAGAGGCCGGTCTGGCATAAATCTGAAACTTTACAATTTTAAATTGGGTATAATTTTATATTATTATAGTGGGTTTTAGGACAGGACAAATAATTTAATTAGTTTTGAATATTTTTAAATATTATGGTATTGCTGTTTTATTAATGTGCCTGTCCACCGCCCTGAGTCCCGCAAGGGAGAAGGGCGGTATATAAATCAAATAAATTTGAATTTGAATTTGAATAAAAAACAAATAAATCTGCACTGCTCACTTCCATCCAAAATGGCCATAAAATCAAATCAACATAACTTCTTCCTATTTTTAAACTGATTTAAACTGATTTCCATTAATAAAAATATAAGAAGATGATTCTGTGAAAATTTAAACATGTACATTTCCTCAAAGAGCTACTTATTTTTATTTCATAAAAACAGTGAATTGGGGGGGAGTTCAGAGTTAGCATTTGACTGGGACAATATGACAGATCTGTGTGATTTAAGAGTTTGAGATATTTTGTAATATTGCTTGAGAGACAACTTTCATATGTGAAGCATGACTTTCAGGAACCTGAGAAACCATAGAAAAAAGTAATGGCTAATACAGAAGCTTTTTAATACACGTCCTTTCCTCTGGAATGGACATTTTGTATGTAGAGTCTGTACTGTACACCTCAGTAGCTCTGTCTACTGAAGGAAACAAAATGCTCCTTAAGAGCTGTTCCATTGCCTTTCTTGATATCATTTCATTTCCACTGTAAGAAGTCCCTTCATTCTTAACCCAAGACTTTTCCTGAAATATACTTTCAGTTTGTTTACTTCCAAAATAAAAAAAAACTACAAATAAAAACACATTTTAAAATGTTAGCCTTTTTTAAAAAAAGAAAAATGAAAAATGAAGTACATTCATATTTGGAAGGACTGACATTCATTAAAAATTGAGGGGATTTTTTTGTAACTAGACATTCAGGACATACAGTAGAATTCAATTATTATTTTATTGGACTACATAAGATCTACACCAAATTGTTACTTTTCTTTGTACAGTTTCATTTAAGATTAATTAGATATAATTTGAGGTACTTACCTCAATTTGAGCTGTATGCTTGGCGTAGAATTCCAAAGCTTCATCTCCATCTATTTGACCTCCAGGCTTCAACATATTCTGCAATTCTTTGTTGTGGCGAGCAAGCTAAAATAAATGAACAGTTATGAAGAACAGAAAGCTTGCCCATGTCTCCTACTTAAAAAAAATAAAACAAAGCAAAAACTCAAAACTATTGAAAGACTCAATAGCAAAATAGAGAAGTAGCTGACTTCAAATCAAATCAGATATTGACTTGGTCAGATTAAAACCAATGTTAAATCATCAGTAGATCATCAGTGTCTGAAATGGTATAGGGCAGGGGTAGGCAACCTTGGCTCTTTTGTGACTCGTGGACTTCAACTCCCAGAATTCCTGNTTATTATTATTATTATTATTATTATTATTATTATTATTATTATTATTATTATTATTATTATTATTATTATTATATTGTTGTTGTTGTTGTTGTTGTTGTTGTTGTTATAGATACAATACTATTGTACTTAAGCTGCTGTATGTAAACAGGGAACACCCCACACTCACTAGCACTGATGATGTTATCTAGTCAGGTAATGAAACATCTGCAAGCAAACAACCAAACCTAGAGAAAATGAAAGGACTCCTCTCTCCTGTCTTTGACAGAACCTCGTTTAAAGTTGGCAAGCTCAGTATGAGAAAGACCACTCAAAAAGTACAACTCTTACTAAAGCAGTCATTTTCAAAGTTCTCTTTTCAATCTGGGTTGGTCACCAGCACTAGAGGTTTAGTCTTCCAAGCTTTTGGACTTGTGTCTCTTCAGGGAACTTCTCTCTACCAGAATGTGTGCTTTGGGCTATTCTGTGCTTTGGGCTATTCTGTATTTATAGAGTGGCTGTTGTATGTGACTTTTTAGATGTTGATTGGGGTGTTGATGGCTGGCTATTAAGTCATTGGCTCTTGTTTCATTGTGCTGGCAAGCCCTCGCTTCCTAAGTACTTGATAAGCTGGTGGTAAATCAGCACTCTTGTTGACTGATAAGAGGCCCATTTCCCAGGCTGGTTTTGTGCCTGCTCATCCAACAATCTGAGTAGCTGCAAAATTGAATGCATGTTCACTGCAATGTAAGGCTGGTTCTCTTTTATTTGGAGTGTAGTAAGTTTGTTATATGAAGTGTATCAGCTTGAGACAGACTTAAGGATGGAGAATCAGTGAAATTTTATGCTCTTAGAATGCCTAACAACAAATATGTTTCAGCACATACTGAGAAAAACTGCATGACAAAGCACTTAGTTTAAGAAAGACAAACTAATTTGCACCAAGAGCACAACTGAAATGGGCAACCGCAGGTTTCAGGCAAGCGTGAACAACTGGCAACAATGCTTTATATTAGTCAAAAATGCATTTTTATTTCGTCTAATTACTTTCACTGTTTGTGTCAGTATTAATTAGCCACTAGGACATGCATATGATGACTAGGCATTCGGGACAGTGAGATGGGCAGTATATAAATTTACTAACTAGATAAATAAATGAAAAGAGCCAAAAGTGACAACTTGCAAGCTGGTAAACTATTTTGATTCAGAACTTTCTACATTGTAGGTGTAAAGCAGCCTTTCCCAGTCTATTGCTTTTGGCCCCTCATCATATTGCTTTTGGATTTCTGCTTCTATTGTACCAAATGAAAGTAATGGAAATATAATACATTTGAAAAGCATCAAGTTAGAAAAACCAACATGTATTTGGCTTGGTTCTTTCCTTACAGGACAGTCTCTTCTAAAGAAAATCAGCTTGTGCATTTAAATCCAATGCTCTGGATTTCTTCCCACTGAGTGTTCAAAAGGTTGAGACACAAGGAAAAGTCTTCTCAGTGGCTGGCTAACCATTATGGAACAGGTTGTTCCCAGAGGCTGTGATGGTCCCACAGATTCTGCCTTTAGGAAACTAGAAAAAGTGGTTTTATTTCACCTGAATTAGGATCTTAGCACCTTATGAATGATTGATTTTGACACTATTAATTATATATTTCTGGTTTAGGGCCTTGAGAATTGTGGAATGGGTTTTGAATTTTGTGAAGTTTATATGATTTCACTGATGACTGAGCTAATATACAAAGATTGTAATGAAATAAGTGTAGGAGAAGGGGAAGCAAAGCCTGGGGGCAGAGTCAAGAGAGGAATCAGCTTGGAGACATTACATTCCGAGAAGTAGTCTAAGTTCAACTCCTCTTGAATTCCATTAAATCTTATCTAACGCCAATTTAGTGCTGACTGTTAGTTGACCAGATTTTTGTGTACAGACATGAGCAATAAATCAGCTTAAGTGGAAGTTAATGTGTAGTCCTGATTCTTCACGCCTGACAATAAGCACATACAAATTCAAAATTTCTCTAGAATATCCCAGGAATGTCAGCTAAGGCCACACTTGGAATACTGCATCCAGTTTTGGTCACCACGATGTAAAAAAGATGCTGAGACTCTAGAAAGAGTACAGAGAAGAGCAACAAAGATGATTAGGGGACTGGAGGCTAAAACATATAAGGAACGGTTGCTGGGATTGGGTATGTCTAGTTTAATGAAGAGAAGGACAAGGGGGGACATGATAGCAGTGTTCTAATATCTCAGGGGCTGCCACAAAGAAGAGGGAGTCAAGCTATTCTCCAAGGCACCTGAGGGCAGGACAAGAAGCAATGGGTGGAAACTGATCAAGGAGAGAAGCAACTTAGAACTAAGGAGAAACTTCCTGATAGTTAGAACAATTAACCAATGAAACAACCTGCCTCCAGAAGCGGTGAATGCTCCAACACTGGAAGTTTTTAAGAAGAGACTAGACAGCCATTTGTCTGAAATGGTGTAGGGTTCCTGCCTGAGCAGGGGGTTGGACTCGATGACCTCCAAGGTCCCTTCCAACTTTATTATTATTATTAATTGGGAGGAAATAAGAACCCACTTACCTATACTGTGTTTTACACAATAGACAAATACAGCAGCTAGGTCTCCTAGTTATCAGTGTGTTTATTCCAGGCAATAAAGAATCAATGCAGATGTCTTGTGCCAATAGAATAAACTTCAATGAATTATTATATCTTAATCCAACAAGGCTCATACTGTCACTCCTGAAATGAATTCCTGCAGTGCATGATTCAACTACTACCAGTATGAATCAAATGCTCTAAACTTTGGGCTAAACTCTTCAGGTATAAATACAAATGTACCTGATGGGCTAATATGTAAATGTTATGCCCCACGTTTCTAGGCGATGCAGCAAGATCTTCACCATTCTCTCCATCTTCAAATTCAACCTCACCTTGCTGATAGGCCTTTTTAATCACTTCTACCTGTAGAGAAAGAAAAATACATTTCACAAGTTTGAAATATATATATATTTCAATTCATATTTTCATTCTGTTTCAGATATTCTGAAAATGAAACTTGTATGAAGTCATTTTTTATTTCCTTCTATCCTTTGAAGCTGAGCTCACTGACTCAGATTACTGATACTGCTGTTGGTTTTTAAACAACTATAATTTATATCAGAAATAAAGTGACTCAGTGGAATGAACGCCAAAAATAAAGCCTTAAACTTTATCTCCAGCCCACGCCATTATTGTGGAATAATATATTCTGCCATACTCTTGACGCAGACAATTACTATAACTGTATAGGTTTGAATTCCTTGCTTGCGTTTTGTTGTTTGTTTAAAGTGGGACAAAAGAATACTTAGACTGCTTTTTGAAAACATCTAAATGCCTTCTTCAAATCATTATAAGATAAGATAACATTTATTGTCAGTTTTTACTGTGGGCTCACTGGCACACATTAAAAATGAAATTCTGTTGCCTTCTCTCAAAAGTGTACACATACATAACACACATATAAACATGCTATATACAACATATGTATATACCTACACCTTTACATATAAATACATATAAATATTAATCACTGTCCATCTTGAATATATAACAGAAGGAGGACGCTTTAGAGTTCACAAGATTAATACTTTATGGAACAAAACTGTGACAGAATCTGAATGTTCTGCTTCGGATACCACAAAGCCTCCTCCCAGAAGGTAATAAGGAAAACAATTTGTGAAGAGGATGTGTAATGTCCCAGAAAGATGAATAAGCTTCTTGGATGAGAAGTCTTCAAAGAAAAACAAGAAAGTCCAGTTGCCGGATGAAAAAAAGCACCTTTGGGACAACCATGACCTGGATGACTGACAATCTCCATAGACAGGGAGTGTCCCAGACAATCCTGTGGACCCTGCTCAAGCAACACTTATATGCTATGTCCTAGATAGAAGGGAGGGAACTGCCAATAATCTTTCCTGCCATCCTCACGACTCTCTGCACTGCCTTCCTGTCTGGAGCAGTATTATTTTATATTATTTTAAATCATACACATACATCTTATTAGCATAGAGATACTAAGAGATTCATCAAAATAGGTAAAATGAATCTCAGAATAAAAAAACAGTGATAAAATTTCAGTAGTTTTTTTTTTCACTATTTCACTATCTTCATCAGTGAGGTGCTAGAGCAGTGATGGCGAACCTTTTAGAGACCGAGTGCTCAAACTGCAACCCAAAACCCACTTATGCATCGTCGGGTGCCGGGTGGGTGTGGCCCATTGGCTGGGCGTGGCCCATTGGCTGGGCGTGGCTGCAGTGGTAACGGCAGACTGGGTGGAACTAAAAAGTTCAATCAATCAATTCCAACTTTGCAAGATATTTTTTCCCACGAGAAGTTGAAATTGATTGATTGATTGAACCTTTTTTTTTTTTGCACACTGTGGCGGAGGCCTAAAGCGAAAAAGTTTCATAAAACTCAGCTGAAGGCCTAGGACTGGGGCAACAGCGCGCATGCCCATAGAGAGGGCTCTGAGTGCCGCCTCTGGCACCCGTGCCATAGGTTCGCCACCACTGTGCTAGAGAGTCATAACTTCTCAAGTATCTAGACCAGTGGTCCCCAACCTTTTGGGCACCAGGGACTGGTTCCACGGAGAAAGGTTTTTCCAAGGACAGGAGAGTGTATGGTTTTGTGTGCTGCCTGCATCCCATGGATTGGGCTTTGCTTGTTTGTGCGGACCGGTTGCTGACATGCCACGGCCCGGTACCTGTCCACAGTCTGGGGGTTGGGGACCCCTGATCTAGACTGAGCTTAAGTGTTGTTGGACATACTATTCTTAACTACAGGTAGTCCTTGACTTATAGCCATAACTGGACCACAATTTCCATTGCCCATGTTCTTTGCATGGTTGTTAAGAGAATCACTACAGTTGTTAAGTGAATCACAAGGTCATTAAGTGAACCCGGCTTCTCCCACTGACTTTGTCTAAGATCACCTGTCCCTGGGATGCTGCAACCACTGAAAATATGTGTTGGTTGCCAAGTGCCCAAATTTTGATCATGTGACCTTGGGTTGCTGTGATGATCATAAGTGCGAGCATTAGCCATAAGTCAATTTTGTCACTACTGTTGTAACTTCAAACGGTTGCTAAATGAATGGTTGTGAGTCAAGGACTATCTTGACATGAAAGCAAATGGGAAAGTGACTTGTCGGAACAGCTAATTATTTCAGCATGTCTTCTTGCAAGTTCTTTCAATCGGTCTTTTACACTGAACATACAAAGTAAAATCCTGCTGTCCATGAACGTTTTTGTTTCATTTTGATCCATTGCGAAGTCTGGCTAACAGAAGGGAAGGAGAGGAACTGCTTTTTTTCATCCCTCGAATTGACTCCCACAGTACTCGTGAAAGTCCTCCTATCCCTGGGAGCAAATCTTTCAAGATCACAAAAAGCTGATGGCAAAAATCAATAAAAATGTCCTTTCCTTCTATCTGTGAGAATGAAACCCAGATATAAATGCCACCATGTTGTCATGCTATATTTCTATATAGTTTAATATAATTTTACCTTATAAAATAAATTTTCTCCTCTCTACTTCACCTGAACTTTGCTTGTAAGCCCACCATACAAGATACAATAGAACTATATTGTCAGTACAGATGATCACAGTTAAAATGATACCGTGTCTAATAGTAGGCACTAATACTAGTAGTCACTAATAGAAAATAATGCTTTTTAAGCTCTCAAGTTAAGCTAACTTAAAATATGCCTGTGTATATAGAACAAAGCTCTTTCAATTTACTGCTAAGCATAATAGGGCTTAGTTAAGGCAAGGCCTCAATTTATAAGATCCAAAATAGTGTGATCTTAATCATGCATCTGGCAGCAAGATAATTTCATGCTGTCCAAATTAATGGAAGCAAATTCTTGGAAACATACCAGTTCTTTTGGTCTCATGTTATAAAGGATCCTTTCTGCATTCTCACTGTCGTGCCTACTTTCCATTATAGCCAAGAGTAACTTCGAGGCATTATTCTGAAGGAAAAAAAAAGAGAGGAACTTCAAAGGAAATGAAGCCAATTAAAATATCCATGTATTACAAAAAACAAAAATACGTCTAAAGGAAGTGCAGATGAATATGACTACTACCTACTGCATTTTAGAAAACTTGACAGATGACAAAGCAACAAAGAACAAATAAAAGAGTCTAAAAATTATCTGTATGTACAATGAAGATAAAACCAACTGATAAAAACCTGTGTTCTTTAAATACTTAGGAAAAGTAATTTACATTCAAATCAGGGTTCTGGCAGTACAGTACACCCAATATTTGAGAAGCTACGAAACAGACCCTCTTCTTACATAATACTTAACACAATAAGTTAAAATCATGCATGTTGAATAAGTTACTAAGTTTTGTTTTGTAGAAATACAGAATACAGAATTCCATCCCTGCAGTAGCTGACTACTGTTGCCATGACTATTTTTTTCCTTCATATGATAATGAACAGGAAGGTTTGTATCTGATCAGAGTTTTGGGCTTTTGTTTTATATCTATATCTATGTGCTATTTTTCTATTTTCTATTATTTATAAACTGCTTATAGTCTTTGGGAACTGAACAGCATACAAATGAATAATAAAATGTCACACAGCAAACTACGTTGAAAACAAGTTAGATTATGACTAACAAATTCTAGCAAGAGTTATTTGTATAAGTGTCCTACAATGCTTAAAAACTTACGATTCTGTAAACTGCAGTTCCCACCATAAAGTACCACTACATGAAGACTATTTCATTGCAGTTTGTCTTCTCACCTATAGACCTGAATAGCCTGCTCCCAATGTCTAAATCAGGGTTGTCAAACTGGCAGCCCACGGGCCGGATGCGTCACGTGCAGGCCATGCCCACCCCAGCTCCGCAAAGGCAAAAAAAAGTCACGATGTGTCATGTGACACGATCGAGTTTGACACCCATGTTCTAAATTTTCTATAGAGTTTCAGTTGCATGGCATGTGTCAAACCCATCTGATAGACCAGATTCATGACATTCATGATTATTTGGAGACTGAATTTTAATAGTTAACTAAACATACAAGAAATGAATTAAACTGCATTCTTTCAAATGTACATCTGGTCATATTTAATTAATTTGGTGTAGTTTAAGTTTTATTCAAACTTACTTCTTCTACATGCTACCTTGTCCAAGGCATTCGGTGAATTTCTTGGGGTTACTGAGAGTTTGCACAACCAATCTGACCATAAATGTTTGTTTTGCTCTTGTAATAGTCACAGTTCTCATTGTTAAAGTATCTACTTGCCTTCAGTTCTAGTACAAGATCCATCCTTTTTTTCCCCAGGGGGTTGATATCATTGAGAATTAATGCTGTAATTATATCAATACCATTGGATTCATGAGTAGCAATGCAGTTCTGCATAAGGAGTGAGGGAGTGGAAAAAGGTAAGTTAACAACAATATATTGCATGATTATTTTATAAAATTAACCCACAGGTCATTGTGCAAAATTAGGAGGAGAAGTTCTTCCTGTCCCTATTTATAATTGTTTCCCACATTTCTTACATAAGAAACAGTTGGAAGAAAATGAGACTACTCAACATATAAATGCCATAATTAATAACTTTAAATCTGTTTTGTTGATCTACTGTTGGAGAACTGAGAAGATTATTTTTCCTTTCATGTCTTAAAATTTTGATCTCACATTTTTATTAGAGCATTTGGATTTTTACTGTTGCCCTTCCACAGTTTGTGGAATACTTTGGAAACTCTTGACTTAGTTAAGGGGTAATATAAATGTAATCACAGATTTATCTGAAGTTACTCTTTACCATAGAATAGAGAAGAACTTGGTCTGAAATATTCTTGAAGAAAGACTAGGGAATTTCAACAAAACAGACACCTGAGCTACAATTCAGTATATGTAGTGGCATTATAGTAACATTTCTAAATAACCATTGTAAATGTCAATATGTGCGTGAACGTAGGTGTATGATTATGTAAAATAAAATAATTATGGGTTCATTTGGAACTCCGGAAAAGCAGTACGCACTGAAATTTGGATTGACGTAGTGGTTAAAAAAATAAAGCTGGAAAACCGGAGACTTTAAGTTCTAATTCTACTTTAGGCATAAAGCCAGCAAGATGATTTGGGGCCAGTCACTCCCTCTCAGCCCTAGGAAGCAGAGGGCAATGGCAAACAACTTTCAAAATGTTGCAGAAAAACTTGCAGGGACTTATCCAAGCAGTTGCCATGAGTCAAGATTGATTTAGAGCCATGCACCTGTGTACAAATGACACACACACAAAGGAGATCTGTAATTTGGTAATAGTGGAGTAACAGCATTTACCTATAATTCTCCTCTCCCTAATAGGAAATTTCCATGCTAGCCAATCATACCTTTCTAACACTGCTAGAAACCTCAGTGTAGGGGGGCTTCTGGTACTATGCACAATAAAATCACATGCATATTTCTTTTCTTAATAACACTACAAGTTGAAACTTAAACATTCCAAAATATTCTCAGTGTTCCAAGTCAGCCTCTCAATTTGCAACAAGCCAGCCACATCTCCCATTTGTCTCAACTACAATACCTGATTTTCATGACATGGTCCCTGGCAGTACTCTGTCAAACTTTCCAGAGTTTGGTTGATCAGTGCTACATTTTTCTCATTAATGTACAGCCCAAGCAGTCCAAGTCCTCCAGTTGTGCTTCCACAAATACAATCTAAAAACTGTAATGTCTCACACACTAGGTTGTAGTTAGTCTTGTTGTTTTGGCAACGTAGGAAGTTCTAGAGATGGGCATGGCAATAACAGAGAAAGAAAAAAGTTATGAATTTCACTTTTTAATATAAAAAACAGCTTATTCTCATAATTTTTCAAATAGTATCTGCTGTTATCTGTACTGAAAAACACTTTTCTATTAATCCATGCACAGGGCAAAACAGTCCTCTGTATATGCTGTTATATTGATATATCGACAGATTTTCCCATCTAAACAGCAGTGTGAAATTCTGCTGAAGCATGGTCTTCGAGAAGCATATTTACAATAGACATCAACAGCAGAAGTGCAGAGATCTGAATTGTCCCTTGTATATTTTTTCAGCACATGGATGGGGTGAGGGAGACAAAGCATCAGAACTTCCCCAATCTTTTTCTCCAATACTTGCTAAATCAGTGGTTCTCAACCTTTTTAATGCCGCGACCCCAACCGGTCGTAAGTCGAGGACTAAACCGGTCGTAAGTCGAGGACTAAACCGGTCATAAGTCGAGGACTAAACTGGTTGTAAGTTGAGGACTACCCAACCGGTCGTAAGTCGAGGACTTTCCCTGCCCGGGAGCGCCGCACATGCGTAGTTCCGCCCCCTGCGCCGGCCGAGGCGTAGCTGGCAAGCGGCAGAGACGGAGCAGGCCGACCACCAGCTGGCCCAGCCCAAGGGAGGTAAGGCCGGAAAAGGGGAAAAAAATGGCGGACAAAAAAAATGGCGGACAAAAAAAATGGCGGACAGCCTTGCTTGGCGACCCCCGTGAAATGGTCGATCGACCCCAAATGGGGTCCCGACCCACAGGTTGAGAACCACTGTGCTAAATCATCTTTGCCACATTGGTGGCATCTTTGTCAGTGTTCTTGAAAAAGTAGAAGACAAATCACCGATCCATTGATCTTCTTTCTACTTTCTGTTCATCTGCTCTCTTTCAAGGCACAAGCTGAAAAAAAGAGCAAAAAGCAAAAGCTTCCCTTTTCCTTTCCATTGCCTTCCATGGATGGTGGGGAGATGAAGCCCGAAAGGAGAGGACAAGAAAAAATAATAATCAGGACAGTTTGAAAGAAATGACACTGGGTTCAGCCAGATAATCTTTCCCAAAAATGTGTTAAAATTTGCAAATGGCAATGCTTTTCTGCAACTACTTGGTACAAAGTTACATTTTTAAGAGTTCACTGGTGGAATGTTGAACAGCTGAAATCCTTATGAGTTCTCTGGTGTAGTCAGGGATCCAGCTGATTTGCCTGTTTCTTCCTCTAATCCAATTGACAGTGGCAAAAATCATGATGTTTCTTTTTCCCTACTGGTCTACTACAGAGGGACAGACCAGTTAAATATGAGTGGGAGTCAATGGACCCATTGAAAAGATTAATCAATAGAAACCACATTCCCAAATACTCAGCCACAGAAAAGAAAATAAGGAGTTTGCTTTTCCAAGGTGGATGGGAAGGATAAAGAAGCAAGAGAGTTCACACTTTGGGGCTGTAGTAAACAAAGTCAAGACAAAATAGGCCATGGCTATTCTGTAAATAAGAGGTTGAAGTCTGTAAAGGGAGCTTCTTGAACCTGTTTCGTTTCTAGCCAGTTTACATGCCAGTGTCAAGCAGTTTCAAGCTGCAGTATGGAAAAGCCCTAAGATAAATATTCAGGGAACGATCAAATATTATTTGGGGTTTTCAGATTATTTGGGGTATTATAGCAAAAATCCAAACAATCTCATGCATAACAGTTTAGGTCTAAGAAGAAATACTGTTATCTCCGAGGTGGGTAAGTTAAAGGCTGCAGAAGTTTGCACTTCCTGGCCTATTTTGCAGCCTCCATTAGCTTCCAAGTTTCCACAAGGGAACCAAGAATATCACACAACTTCAATTTCAGATTCTGTAGGATAATCCTTTGCTGCTCAGTGAGTTGGGCTTTCCGGTTCATAACGTAACCATATGTGTTAGAACCAGCTGTTCCACACAGGAAGCATCAGCCAGGGAGAGACAGGGAACGGGAAAATTGAGGAGATGAATAAAAACAAGAATAGTGCTTGAGTGGTTCAGTAAGGCTTCTTACAGTCCTGATTGTGACAGAGAAGAAAAGCACCACTGGTTTTGCTTCAGGAAATCAAATTTCTTCTGCTGAAGGAAAAACTAACAAATTATCCCTTGTTCTCAGTTTAAGTAATCCAACTCTCTTCTGAGAAGACAGAATTGTTAGACGTGCTTTTAGGTCCCCCAGAGGTTCCCACTTTCTGGGTTGTTAGGCATTTTTGAAATTCGAGAGCATGCTATGGATGTTCTTACAATATGGTTGCTATGGAGTGTTTTGCTAGTCCCAAAGCGCTTGTTTACTAGTAGTTAAATTAGTGAGAATCTTTTCACTCCTGCTTCATCTCCTACTTGACTATCAATCCATCTATCCATTCATCCATCCACATAAAGATGATATTTGAGGCTGGTGCTAGGTTTGGCAACATGATAGCTTCTCAACTAATTAACTAAAAACATTCAACATTCAGATCAGGCCAAGTAAGGCGTTGCTAGACACACTGGGGCTCCTGAGTATGCCCCATGAGTGGCAAGACTGTTTGTGTACCTGCAAATCCCGGTTGTGGTTTTCACACAGCAACTGCAAAAACCGTAAAATGGGCTGCATTATTGTGATGACAGGACTCATTTCCAGCTCATCTTTGTTTTTATCTGCCACAGACTGTGCTCCTTCTACAGCTGAATAATGATCATCAGGGTCGGCTTCTCTTCTGTAGGTGTTAAATGCTTTCCTTGTAGCGGTGGAGGCCTCAACCAACTGATCTCTCGCTTCCTCTGTTATCTGGGTCAGGGGTTCCCTTAATGCTATAATGCACAATGACAAATCCCATTAGCAAATAATGACGCAGTCCTCTTCACCATTTCCAGAAAGCTTCACACATTGGCCATCAAGCATTTTGCCTTTTTGTAGTAAAAGTATCCAGATTAGTATAGTAAGTTTAACAAGCCAGCCTGATTCATCTCGTTTCTTAGCAATACACAGAAATAGCCTCAAAAAGACAGTTCTTTGTAGATTAAATAAACATAAATACAGTCATTAAAAGTTTTAGTAATGATGCTTAGTTATTGTAAAACAGACTTGCCGGCAAGGGTCTAGAAACTGCCACCAAAACACCTAGTACATGAAATACTATCAACTCCTAATTTTCTCTCTAGGTTTATTAAAAGTATAGTAGAATTCCTTTGGATAAACAGAAATTCCTCCTCCTTTTTCACTTCAGCATATTGGATTGGATCCAGATTCTGTCATGATTAGAGCAGACTGCTCAGATTTAAGGAAACTCAAGACAGTCACTGATTCAAATGAGCATACTTTACATATGACAAAGCAACACACATTATGGATAGTGGCTAGGGTGCCAGACTAGGGCCAGGGAAGACCCAGGTTCTAGCCTATCCTGGAACATGGAAGCTAGCCAAATGACCTTAGGTCAGATACTTCCTCTCAGCCCTAATTAGCATCTGGAAAAGCCAGCTTAAAAACCTGCGTCTGCTATGTCAACGAAAGCAGCTGCAGTGCAAAAAAAGAAAAAGAAAGAAAGAAATACAGACCCTGCATTCAAGTGGGACAAATGCTGGAAACAGCAACTACCATTCTAAATATGATGAACTGTGGATGCAGCTTATTCTCATGCTGTCATTTTTATTGCTTAATGAATAAAAATTCAAGTTCTGCTTGGACAAGGCTTCAAGATATCAAAAGAAGAGAAGACCATGACCCTCACTGATATCTTAACAATTTATGAGGAAGAATTCTCCAAAATAGCACAGGCAGCAACATAGTCAAAAATCCTGTGAAATACTCAACTTTCCACTTTATCAATCACCTATAATGAGTCCTGCGCATGTCCTGCTGGGCAATAAATATGTGGCGGTGAGAATGTGTGTGTGTGTGTGTGTCCGTGTTCCATTTCCCCCATGTATACATCTGCTGGAAGCCTCATTACAAAACAGGGAAGATCCTAAACCAAGAAAATAATACAGGTAGTCCTCGATTTATGACCACAGTTGAGCCCCAAATTTTAGTTGTAAAGTGAGACATTTGTTAATGCGAGTTTTGCCCCATTTTACGATTTTTCTTGCCACAGTTGTTAAATAAATCTGGCTTCCCCATTGACTTAGCTTGTCAGAAGGTCACAAAAGGTGATCACATGATCCCAAGACACTGCAGTCTAAACATGAGTCAGTTGCCAAGCATCTGAATTTTGATCATGTGACCTGGGGATGCTGCAATGGTTATAAATGTGAAAAACAGTCATAAGTAACTTTTTCAGATGTGTTGTAACTTTGAAGGGTAACTGAATGAACTGTTGTAATTTGAGGACTACTTGTATTAATTGACTTTAGAACTTTTGATTAAAATCATCCACCTTTAAAATAAGGCACCCTATTTAAAATTAGTGATTTTCCTCTGAATAATAGCATTCTTCACCACACTCTTGAAAAGCATCCAGGGTTTTCAGCAGGGATATCTACATTAATTTAAGCCTCCTGGTCTTTCATTTACAGAAGTGTAGTTTATGCTTATTACTTCCTCACCCCAACTCACAGATAATTACCAGGTAGGGATGAACCTTACTTCTTCTTTTGGGTAAATATGGTGCTTATTTTATCCACTGGATCCACAGTTAGTACATCTGGTTATTTTTACTTAAAATATGTAGTATAAAAATACCTATCTTCTGCTCCTCAAAATTATGTCCTTACCATATGTATTATAGCCATCTAAAGCATCAGTTCATATTCTTGACTACTAGGAACAACCTAGTATACCAATTCTAGGAACAACTTCCTAGTACAACAACTATTAAATATTAGGAACAATCTATTATATTTCATCCTTATTGGCAATATGTACTGATCCATCATATTTGCATGTCAGAACAGTGCTCCAAGTGATAGAGAAGTTTAAGATTTAATTCTGAATGTACATCTTAATTCATAGGAGCAAGGTGGCTCTTGTGGTTAGGATGCTGGATTGGAGATTAGCAAGTCTGTGTTCAATGGGCAATGGTGATGTCACCAGTTAATCTTTCCACCCGGAAGTAGTTGAAAAAAAAATCTAGTTCATCTTTAGACTGAATTGAGAAATAGAAAGTCTGCTTTTAATTACAGAATTCTAGACCTACTGCCTGCAGAGCAAATAATGTTAAATGAAAAGTTGAAGCAACATGTCAATCTACTCAAGCTGGCTGGCATACCAATATGAGAATACCTGTCAGCATTTCAGTAATTGCCATATCCCAAAAGGTTGAAGAACGAAGATGATGTCATGGCAGGATAGCACTCTTTTCCATGCTGTGGACCAGAATCATGGGATCAATAAAATACTTAATCACATGATGAATTATTTACTTTCAGTTGGTCATACTCTACTGTAGCTCTTTGAGCCTTACCTCTCTTCCTTGCTGGCACATCTCTGTCGGAGTCATCATCTTTCTTTTTATTTCCCAAATCACTGGTGTTAACTGTGACTGTGGCCTTGATTTCTTGCTGAGCAACTTTCATACGATCATAAAACACTTTGAAGAATTTTTCTGATTTCTTATCTTCCATCAAGCGACAAAAAAAGGAGTGCTGTAGCAAAATAAAAGCCCAAGAAACTGTTAATTTAAAAATAAAAAGGAAATATTTTTAATATCAAAGACATACATTTTAAAAAACTAAATGTGCTCTCTGTGAGCCCCACAATCATTTACTGATCTACTGTTAAAGATAAGCAATTATAATCTCATAGCCAAGGTAGAATTATCCACAACTGCTAATTCTGAAGAGCAAAAAAAGTAGAAAACAGTGACTATGGAATAGTTTCTCCTCAATGTGGTTTGTCATTATAAAAAAAAGGTTTGCATAGGGTCATATATTTATAACTGCTGAAAATTGGGATATGGACACACACAGAGACACACATAGAATATATGACACCACCATCTTCCAAACCTTCCTGTTCCATTGCTGAATAGTTTTCCTATTTCCTATTTCAATTCAAAACTATATTTATAGATATTTGAAGATGATTACAAACTTTGCTCATAAGCAATTATTAATTAAGATGTCTTCATATTTTATATGACAATGCAATCTTGTATATATGATTCATATATACTGTAGGTGCTACCAAGTTCAATAAGGCTTACTCCTAAATAAGTGTTTACAAGGTTGCTGCCTTAACATACAATCTATCTGTGGGAAGTCTTACAGATATCTCAAATGTTTGTTGAAATATTCAGTAAAACAGAATTGGTGAATGAGACAGTCACATGCAACTACTTGGAACTATTACAGCTAGCTGTTGAGTGTATAATACCATGCCTAGCAGAATAACAAAATAAACAGAGTAACAAGATAACAGAGTTGGGTCTTTGGAGGTCTTCTAGTCCAATCCCCTGCACAAGCAGGAGACGCTATACCAGGGATAGGCAACTTTGACTCTTTTATGGCTTGTGGACTTCAGAATTCCTGAACCAGCCATGCTGACTCAGGAATTCTGGGATTGAAGTCCACAAGTCATACAAGAGCCAAGGTTGCCTATCCCTGCCCTATACCATTCCAGACAAGTGGAACCCAGTCTCTTCTTAAAAACCTCCAGTGATGGAGCACCCACAACATCTGAAGGGAAGCTGTTCCACTAATTATTCTTACTGTTAGAAAAGTTCTCCTTAGTTCTAGGTTGCTTCTCTCCTTGATTAGTTTCCATCCATTGTTTCTTGTCTTCTGGTGCTTTGGAAAATAGGTTGACCCCTTCTTCTATTATGTAACATGTAGAGCTGCTGCACCCCAAAGGATTCAAGACATAAAAGCAAGGGTATATGCACTATATTGTGTATGCTGAACATAACAACTAACTTTGGAAGAGAATTAAAACTAGTGCTTTAATCTGTTGCTGCAATTAGCCTATATGAAATGTGTGTGTGTACACATACTTATACGTGTAGGTAAATAAATAGTTAGAAAAACAGACTGATTCGTTGGGTGTATGTGCCTTGTAATGCCTTCAAATAACTCTGTAAAGTACTGAGCAGAGACCATATAGTTGAAAGCACCTGACAACCAAAGATAGTATTACATAAATCAGAAAAGGAGCAGTATGTCACCTTATGCAGAGAATCACAAAGTTAGCATTCTTCTGTGGATAATGTTGCAATATGACACAAATCAAATGTACTGAACTGCTCTTCTCTAGTTCCTGCAACTTGAAATGGTCTATGCAAGATCATGTAACAAGTTTGTCAACGCTGTTAACATCGGATGTTTTTGCATTGACAACAAAGGGAAATGTAGCCATCTTTTACCTTTTGCTTTTAGAGTTAGATGATGCTGGGAGGGGGGATGTGAATGACATAATAACACTAGACCTAGCATGAGAAACAAGGTTATTGTAACCAGAGCTGATAAGGAATTGGCAGGCTGGAGAACTGGAGAGGAGGCCCGTGCTTCAAGCTAATTGGGGAATGTGATTTATGACTGTTAATTGAAGGAGGAAATTGTGCTTTGATACTATGTGCTCAGGGGAGGGGAATTCAGTTTTTGGCTTCAATTATGCAGTGCCGAAGTTATGCTACTCAAAATAAAAATTCTTTAAGGTAAACAATGCCTCAAAGTTCTTTTGAAGAGTTTAATTTGCCGGAACCATGACACCTGCCATCCTTTTCACTTCAGTCACATATGTGATTAACTCTTATCTCTCTTTACCAATATTACACAAACCTATTCAGGAAGCCTAATCCAAGAAGCCCCCACTGGCACTTGCACAATATCTGCCCAACAACTTTAATGTCAATTCCCAATGTAAAGCCAAATGGGGCCCTGAATGCCCAGTTATAGGAAGATATATAAATGACCCCACCAAAAAAAAGTACAAGGCTTTGAGCTACATCAGCAATGGACAATTATGAATAGGATTTGCATCTCACATGGTGTCTGACTGGACTCTCTATAAATGGGCATAGTATCCTCCCCTCAGTGTGACAGCGGAGTCCCATGTCAAACTCTAGTCTAGATCACATTGTGACCGGATGTAAGCTGAGGACATATACTAGTCTGATATCTGTTTTTTCTTTAATATAAATGATGTTGTGCTTCAATGGTTAGATGGTCTAGATCAGGGGTAGATAACCTCGGCTCTTTTATGACTCGTGGACTTCAACTCCCAGAATTCCTGAGCCAGCCATACTGGCTCAGGCATTCTGGGAGTTGAAGTCCACGAGTCATAAAAAAGCCAAGGTTGCCTACCTCTGGTCTAGACATTGATATTTGAACATTAGATTTTTTTAACATTTATATTTTATTAGGTTCTACTAATCTAGTTGAAATGTTAATATTTACTGCTAATCCATGTATGATATGCCATACACTAAACAAATAATAATAATTCATACTAGGAATTCTCTCTTCTCTTCCTCCATTTATTCTTATTCCTAGGAACTGCTTTCATCCAATTTTCTTTCTTGTCACAATCACAATGTCACATGCCTTTCTTTCCTTCTGAAAGCTTTAGCATATCTCATGTGTTGGGCAACATTCACAATTAGATCCTTTACTGTGATGTACTACAAGCTGTTAGGAATCTTTCACAAATGCTGGGCATCGCAAAAGCATACTCATTTTTCCAGAGTATATTTATTTTTGATGCTCAATAGATTTCTGAATACTGTATATATATCGCAGATAAGCCAAGAATTTTAGTTGCCAAAATACACCCCATCTGCAGATGGCCTTATTAGTATATATATACTATGTATATCTTGTACATATTCTTGCACAATATAAACAAATCCACAGATAAACCAACCTCAAACTGAATAGCAGTTTGCATGTTTCACTGATATTTTAATTCCACAGTATACCAGGGAATTGCTGCTTAAATGGTAGAAGCTTAGCATGAAACTATGAGTGATACAGCAATGCATCTGACCTACTAGAACAAAAAGCTGCATTAATGATGCCTTAATTAACCAGTGGAACAACCTGCCTCCAGAAGTGGTGAATGCTCCAACACTGGAAGTTTTTAAGAAGAGACTGGACAGCCATTTGTCTGAAATGGTATAGGGTTTCCTGCATGAGCAGGGGGTTGGACTAGATGACCTCCAAGGTCCCTTCCAACTTTTATTATTATTATTATTATTATTATTATTATTATTATTATTATTATTATTATTATTATTATTATTATTATTATTATTATTATTATTATTATTGATGGTTTTGTTCATCTTAGATTTTGCTCATATTTGTGAATTTTCACATTTACCATATGTATTGGAAACATTTGCTTCAAACAGTGTTACCTAGGCGTGCGCTTTATATATAATTATTTATTTGTAGTGCTAACTAAGACAACAGGAAACATGAAATTGTGCATAAAGAGGTCAAATTTAGTAATTAGAAATTCCCATCTATATTGCATTAGGTCTGCTTGTTTTAAACTGACATTGCAAGTCTGTAGCCAGAATTCTATGTAGGCCATAAATTTATTTAAGTGCCTGAGAAAAGAATTATCCTTATGGAAAGCATTCATTTGCAGGAGATTGTGTATTCTAGTCCTGCTTTGGGCATAAAAGTCAGTTGAGTGACTTCAGTCTCAGCCCAATTCACCTTACAGAGCTGTTGTGGGGAAAATAGGAGGACAAAGAGACATTAGGTATGTTTGCTGCCTTGAGTTATTTATAAAACATAATAAAGGTGGGATTAAAAGAATGTTAAAAATGTCTGATCCCTTTTCATATTTCAAAAGTGATTAAAGAGCCTCATGTTGCTGAAAAGTATGTCTAGTTTGATGAAAGGAAGGACTGGCAGTGTTCCAATATCTCAGGGGTTGCCACAAAGAAGAGGAAGTCAAACTATTCTCCAAAGCACCTGAAGGCAGGACAAGAAGCAATGGATGGAAACTAATCAAGGAGAGAACTACCCTAGAACTAAGGAGAAATTTCCTGACAGAACAATTAACCAGTGGAACAACCTGCCTCCAGAAGTTATGTATGCTCCAACACTGGATGTTTTTAAGAAGAGATTGGACAATAATTTGTTTGAAATGGTATAGGGCAGTGTTTCTCAACCTTGACAATTTTAAGGCATGTGGACTTCAACTCCCAGAATTCCACAGCCAGCAATGCTAGCTGTGGAATTCTGGGAGTTGAAGTCCACATGCCTTAAAATTGTCAGGGTTGAGAAACACTGGTATAGGGCTTCCTCCCTGAACAGGGGTTGAACTAGAAGACCCCTAAGATCCCTTCCAACTCTGTTATTCTGTTCTCTGTTTTTCAAAAACAGATCATGCCAAACAAATCTTTTTTCAAAAGCTTGAATTTATATCACATATGGTTGGGTCAATAAGTGATAGTAAAATAGCAGTGAAATACTGTAGATTACAATGTCAACTCTTTCCAGCTCCACGTGATCAGAGCAGCCTCCTTTCATCATTCTACTTCTAAAGGAAAATACAAGAACATACCAAGAATCCAAATCACCTCTACAGTAATACAACTGGAAACTTGTATGAAGTAAGAATTTTGAAAATGTATTTTTCACAGATAAATACTTAAAAGATTGATTTATCACATACAACACAGGATGAGGGC